AGCCTGAGTTGTCACACTGGCACAAATACTTAAAAATTGTTGCCTAAGAGCTCTGTTTAAAACAGGATCCAGTGACCTGGCAGCGGTGGAAGAGGGCGGGGCAAAGCCATTTTGCCTTCTATTCTGTCTGGAGGTGGCATGTAGTGGGCACCGTTTATCCTGTAGATCTTGAGCTGCTTGCCATGTCTCCGCTCTGCTCCTGGCACTGCTCCTCCATCAGGAAGAGCAGACTTGCAAACTTGCAGCATTGTGTCAGGTTACTGCATTTTCCTTCTGCTTGAGAGTGGTTTGGATCATTGTCCCTCGCTGTGAGAGGGGACCAGGCTTCCCAAGTGCTGGTCATATAGGTTATACATATACCTCTTGCCAATGCCAGCGTTCAAAACAGAACTGTTTTGCTCCTGCCAGTCAGGAGGTCAGCATCACTTTAGAGGGGGCTACAAATAAGGTGACTTTTGGGTGCTTGCTATTTTGTGTTCTTGTTCTTTGAGCAAGCAAAACCCTTTTTCTTCTAATGAAGACTGAAACACCTCCAGCAAAACAAAGACTCTCCAGAGTCATATGGCTCCAGAGCTGAAAATCTGAGCAATGCCGTGCATCGCAGGGCATATTGATAAAACTGGCAATATTGGTGGCAGGCTTTGAAGTAGTTGAGTTTTGGGACTGGTGTGTCTGTAAGTGGTGTTTTACAACAGGCAAGATGGTGACACCGGCGGCCTTATTTTACAGCTAGCACAGCCCTGCAAAACCTTCTGCAGTGCAGAAAAAAAGATGCGTGCTGCTCTGCCTGGCTTTCACTAGAGATTTAGCCTTATGTGACCTCACTGAAGTCATTGAAACTGCACAGAGGAAAGTCTGCTTCTTATTTGCTCTAACTTTGTAATAGGATAGCAGGTGGAAAGCTGGCAGGCATCTAAAAAAAAAAAAAAACCCCACGTTTTTGGGTTTTGTGATGTGAGGAAAGCGGCAAAAGGAAGGAAGGAGCAGGTTGTGAGATAAAGTTGAGTAGTGGGAGGGAACATGTGTGTGGAAGCTGAGCTGGAGGCTATTGATTGGCAGCCAGGTCTTAACATCAGATGCATAAAAGGAAATCGAAGAGAATGCCCAAATATTGCCAGGATGAAAGGCAGGATAAATAGCACAGAGCTGAATGCCGGGCTGGTCTGCCCTTCTGGAAGGGGCGGCAGGTCTCCCCTTTTAATTTGGCATAGGGATTGCATAGCCCCATGCCGTGCTCTCCTCTGTACCAGTTTGTGCTCGTGCTGGGTTTGACAGCAGGGTTTTGAGGTAAAATTAACCTCCTCTGTCTGTGGGCAAAGCGTGTGGAGTATCTCAGATGCTGCCACACATTCAAAGCCTGGGATCCGAGATCTGTGCCAGGCTTGCCTTTCTCCAAAAGAAAAAAAGGTGAAAATGCATAAATCCTTTTCCAATTTTACATCTTTGTGCCAGCAGATACCTAAATTAACATGCATATGTTGCAGAGCTCCATGTGGTGGGGTGGAAAATGAAATGGGAGAGGATGAGGCTTCTTGTACCAGGGAACCTGTGAAATAGGTAGTGGGAACAGAGGCAGGTTGCACAGTCCTTGGAGGGAGAGAGTCCTGCTGGGAAGGTTCCAGGTAAGTCTTAGGAATCCCTTTGCTTAATGCTCTTAAGCTCCCTTTCCCTCTTAAGACTCGCTAGGATTTTGCGAAATGCCCAATTTCTCTTTCAGCAGTGCTAGGGTGTGTGGAATTAGTAAAGAGGCTTGAGATTTCCACAACACCTTTAGTGGCTGCTAAAGAGAATGAGTTACTGAAAACAGTAACAAAAACTGTCCTTGCAGAAAACCCCCCAAAACCAAATAAACAAAAGCTCTGAAATTTTCACCCCTGCTGTCAGTATTTGGTTTTGGGGCAGCAGCCTTTTGCTGTGCTGCGGTACCAAATTGTGGTCCTGGAGTCCTGGAGATTAGAAACAAGCCTGAGTAGCAGGCAGCTGGTGAATGTGTTTTAAAATTGTTTAACCCAAGGCCGCTCCACTGAATGCTTTTTTAGCTCTTATATTTTTAGTTAGATGTGTGATATCTTTGGCCTTTCCATAGGCAGACAGCCTGCATGAATTGCGCGCTTCCTATTGATGGAGCTGAGTGCAGTCTTGAGCTTCTGTTAACTCACCAGCAGTAGAGTACTAGAAATTTCTGTTTCAGAAATAGGTCTTCTATAAATGATTTAACATCAGGCCATTGAAATGCATTTGTGTTTTCCTTCTTAGGGCTATTAAAGATAAAGGCTATTAAAGTAGAGAAAACATTTAGCACCAAATTAATGGTTGTATTTTTGTTTTAATCCTGCAGATGGGGTTGATTTATATCTCAAAAATATGTGCTGTGGAGAGGAATTATAATATTACACAATTTTTTAGTTGTACTTAATTTTTTTTATGCCAATATTTTCAGCTAGATGCCGTCTCTTTAATGTGGTGAGTTTTCTTTTTCATTAACCATAAGGCGCTGCATTTCATCCTCTAGTTTGTATTCCTTGTTGGTTGAAATACTTGTTTGAGGTCTGTAGTGATTAGGAAGCTGGGACCAGGCAGAAGGTGCAGGGGCTCTTACCCCATCCCCTTCTTGGGGAGGGATGTAAAAGCAGAAGGGTGGCAGGCTGCCTGCAGTCTCTGGGGAGAGGCAGACCCTGCTGAAGAGAGAGAAATGGTGCACTCCTACATGCAGATACGCGAGAAGAAGGTGGGATTACATGACAGAGCAGAGATTTTGCACAATAGTGGCTGCTCTGATAAAATCTGGTTGGCTTTCCCTTGAGGATTATACAGAGATAAGCAGCCTTAGCTCATTAGCACCTCCCCTTCCTCTTGCTCTCTGATGATTGCTTTAGGTTTGATGGCAGGTGGTGATGGCAGGACTTGCTCTGATTTGGGTGCGGTGCTGGAAATGCAGCACATCCTGAAGACTGAGATGCTAGGTCATGTGGCATTTCTTGCAGCTGAGATTACATTCTAGCTCAGTTGATGTATTTATGCTTGGACCTTCCTCCTCATGGTGTTTAGTGCTCTCAGTGCATGAAAGCAACCATTAGAATCACTGGATTTAGTTTTTGAACAAATGAGCTTTCTTATACTTGCTCCCACTAACACAACTCCTGGAGCAGCGATGGAAATGAGCTTAATTTTTTAACTCTGGAGAGCATGATGGTTGGGTCTTTGAAAATTGATCTGGCAAGTATTAAAAAAGAGAAGTGATGTTTTTCGATACGCCTTCAAGTTAGGTCACTAATGATATTACTGCAACATCACAGTCAGTGCACGTGTCAGTTCTCTGAAAGAAATACACATTAGATGCTCCCTAAATGTTGTACAGAGTTATACTGTGTACCTTGTGGCCATCCATACACATCCCCACTTGCTAAAGCTGGTCTGAGCAATTTCCAGCCCTCAAATGCTTTTTACCACCTCCTGCTGGAGGTTAACACTTCTCCATATCTGCTGGTTGATGTGTGTGATTGTTTGAGTGATCCTCTGACCTTCAGCCAGAAAAAGTCATTAAGGTCTTTCCTGGGCTATATTGGGATGTGCTCACCTGTCCCTTGGGCTGATTCGGTGGGGACCTCTGCCTGGGTCAGGGGGAGTGGAGGGATACCCTTCTGTTTCATCAAATGGAGAATTGCCACTATGATAAAAATAAGACTTCGCATTTATATAGTGTCATGTTAAACAAATCCACTTGGAAGTATATATGTACAGCATATTTAATGCTTAAATTAACCACAGTAGTTGAAGAATGGTGCTTTTCTGCTTTTTAATTTCATGTATTTAAACCCACCCTATTTACTGGAACGTAGAGAAGCTAGCTGCAGATTTGTGCTATCTTCCATGCTTTTCCTGTGTGTTTCTCAATGGCTCTACTCTTCGTAATTGTTAATTGCCTCTCCTCAAAGTTAGGCATGAATCCTGCAGAGATCTGCCTAGCTTTCACTGCAGGCATATCTCTAGCTAACTCTGGCGCTACCAGGAAGGGCAAAGTGACAAGTACATGTTAATCACAGTAGGGTCATGGCCTGTTTAGAAATGAAAATACTGCTTAGCATGACAAAAATGTCCTCAGGTTACATTCCTCACTCGGAATACTGGTGGTACATGTGAACTGCGCATTGTGGCAGGCATGTCTTGCTGAAATTGCAGAAGCCCCCACTTTCACATCCCAGGTCAGGGAGGAGAGGAAATGCTTGGAATACTGGTGGTACATGTGAACTGCGCATTGTGGCAGGCATGTCTTGCTGAAATTGCAGAAGCCCCCACTTTCACATCCCAGGTCAGGGAGGAGAGGAAATGCTTTTCTGCTGGTGGGTATTTATAACTCATTTTGGACTGTAGCATCAGGTTATGTTTTCATGCCACTTGTTGCTGCCATTGGAAGTAATGTTCTCTTTGCATGAGCAGGAACTCCTCTGACTAGCACACCTAGGGAGAGCAAAGGCCTGTTATTTTGTATATCACTCTGCTGATTTTCTGGCAGGCTGTTTGGTGGGGGAGAATAGCTTGGAGAAATGTGGTCATCCTCATTGCGTTGGGCAGTGACTTGAGGATGTGGTAGAAAGGAGCCTGGGGGAGCGGGGACAAATGGACTGTAAATAGCTTTTTTTTTTTTTTTTTTTTCCCCTCCTATGTGGATGCACTGGAAAAGGCCAACTTGTGGCCCCATCTGCTTTTATTTCTCCCTAACAAAGTACTAGTGGACAAACCCAGCAGTATGTTTTTCCACTTCTGAAATGCCTGAAACAAAAGGTCTTAACTAGCATCCTTTTATATTTCTAAAGGGTCTTTTATCTGACTTTATCAGGAATGTATCAAGCCTTCAGTATGGAAAACTGCCATTTAAAACATTTTTTCCTCCTAAAAGTCCTCCTGAACCTCTGAAGCCCAAGGTGCTCTTAGATGGCAAAGCTAAGATTTTGCGGGAGCTGGAACTTTTTAAAAAAGTAATACTTTTCTTTTTTATACAGTGGGAAGAAATCGGTGAGGTGGATGAAAACTATGCTCCGATACACACATACCAAGTATGCAAGGTAATGGAACAGAATCAGAACAACTGGCTTCTGACCAGCTGGATCTCTAATGAAGGGGCGTCCCGCATCTTCATTGAGCTCAAATTCACCCTGAGGGACTGTAACAGCCTTCCAGGAGGACTTGGGACTTGCAAAGAGACTTTTAACATGTATTACTTCGAATCAGATGATGAAGATGGGAGGAACATCAAAGAAAACCAGTACATCAAGATTGATACCATCGCTGCTGATGAGAGCTTCACAGAGTTAGACCTCGGCGACAGAGTTATGAAGCTAAACACAGAGGTGAGAGATGTCGGGCCCCTAACGAAAAAGGGGTTTTACCTCGCCTTCCAGGATGTGGGTGCCTGCATCGCCCTGGTCTCTGTGCGCGTGTACTATAAGAAATGCCCATCGGTGATCCGCAACCTGGCCCGCTTTCCTGACACCATCACGGGAGCAGATTCCTCACAGCTGCTAGAGGTATCGGGCGTCTGTGTCAACCACTCGGTGACTGACGAGGCGCCGAAGATGCACTGCAGTGCTGAGGGGGAATGGCTGGTGCCCATCGGGAAGTGCTTGTGCAAGGCAGGGTACGAGGAGAAGAACAATACCTGCCAAGGTAAGGGTCTGCAGGGAGGGTGCTGTGCTGAGGCTGCTGAGGTGATGTGCGGTCTTGGCTTTCTTCTCTTCCGTGTCCTTCATGCCTGGTTGAGTTGACAATGGTGGGTCAGGTTCTCACTTCCACTGAGGTCCTTTGAATGACCGTTACAGCATGAAGAGAGGCCTTGGCTGGATGTAGTGGGACTTGACACCTATGTACAGGTCCTTCCGGTGCTTACAGGGCTGTGGACAAGGAGAATCTGGCATGCCACTATTACCTTTGGAGCACTGTACTGTTGGGTCCATGAGGCGATTGCAATCTTATCTGTTATTTAAAGCTTTACATTATTTTTCCTCAATATCTGGGTTTCCTTACAAATTTTAGTAGCTTGGTTTCTTTTTTCTGGACTGTACCAGGGAATGTTTGACGTTAATCTCCCTATGCAAAATGTGTTTTGTTTTTGTATTTAAAGGAGTATGTTTTTCTCTCTTTATCACTCTATGGGGGGGGGGTTTAATTTGATGTGGTGTGAGCTGATTGATTTTCCTCTGGTAAATAGCTTAATACAAAGCTGCTCAGCTGTTCAGAGTTAAACTTAAAGCCCACTGATAAAAATGCTTCCATATGTTTTCACACAAGTAGCTGGCTGAGGTTCCTGAGTTGCTGGTCAGCATAGGTCTCCTCAATCATCAGGGGCCTTATGCAAGAGATCTAAGGTATCTGAAGCTCAAGACCTAAAAAAGAATACTTTTGAAGAAGTGCAACATACTCTAAGAGTCTATTATCTCATTTTATGGTTTGCTGTATTACATGCTCGTTTACAAAATTGCCCTTCCATTGTAAATATATAACAGGTAGCCTAAAACCTATTCGGACATAAAAGAGAAGGGGAAAGAAAAGAAGATTTCAATGCGGTTTGCTTTTTTTGCTGGTCATCACTCCCATCTTAATTGCCTTGTACTTGCAGCCACTCAGTAGTAGATAACCTGTGGGGAAAGCAGAGGGATTCTGCTCCAACCGAAGGCAGTGTTGCATTTTATTTTCACCTCGCTCCAGAGACTTGTTACTGGTGTTTGTAATGTTGGTGCGAAGGATAGATCAGTGCATATCCAAAGCAAACTGTGGCCTTGATCCTTTAGTCCTTGGTCACACACTGTGCCTGTGAAGATTACATAGTTCAAGTCTCTTTAAGGGTTGACTTGGAGAGAAAATGTAGGTATGTTTGTTTTTGGAGAAGCCTCTAGTAAACAGCATGTGGAATGTGCTTTTTGACCAGAATAGTCTCCTTTTTCTGCAGATGTAGTCAATACAGCAAAATCTGACTTGGTTTTGCTTTTCCTGTGCCTATAAAGATACTTCTGTTTAGGAGGGAAAAAGCATCGGACTTGATGTTTGATACTGCACAAGGGGAGCTAAGATCAACATTAGCCCAAGCGGAGGAAAGCTAGACTGTCACAGATGAGGGATGATGTGGGTCAGATAGATCAGCAAGGATCTGCTTCATTATGGCTAAAAATACTGTGTCCCAAAATAATGTGCACTGCTTGGGTGCTATGTCTAGACACTGACTTCAGTCACCTGTAGGAATTTTTGGAGGAAAGGGGTACATCCATTAGTCACCTTTCAAATCCTGGCCTCCCACGCTGCATGAGCGGCATGGGATATCTCAAAGCACTCAAAGATCTCAAAAACAAACAAAAACCAAACCACCAAAAAAACCTAAACCAAAATACTGGACTGGTTTAAACTAGAAACCTGAGACTATCTTTGAAGAGCCTACTGTGCCTGTAGAGCCGTTGGATCTTTGGTAGTGCTGAGATAGCAATCTGGGGTGTGCTTTCAGAAGACCTTAATGATTTGAGGTTCTGCTTTCCACTTTGGAGTGTGGGTTGGTTTTTTAAATTTATTTTTCTTAGTCAGTTGAGAGGACAGTGTCCAGCCCCGCAATTTATGACTGTTGGGAAGGACTGTGATCATAGTTTGGAAGTGTAAAGATGCTTTCTGGCGATGTACCCTTGCCCTTCTGTCATAAGGCATACCCACATAAACTACTCTTACGCTTTACCTACAGTCTGCACCCTCGGCAGGAGTTTATCACTTTAATTGCTCTAGATCTGTTAAAGCCCGTAATTCTAATTTGTAGGAAAGCCCTAAATTCCATCAGCAAATCAATGGGATGTTGTGCTCCGAGTGCCTACGGCAAAGTCTGTTTGAGGGCCCCATTTGGATGTCCTGTGTTTAACCCAGGTCATCGTGCCAAGCGTTTCCTGCTGGTTGGCTCCGAGATGCTCAGTCGATAGGAGACATTCAGCCTTAGGCCATTCAGGAGGTCTGCATTCAGTGTGTATGGAGTTCACGCTGATATCCTGTGTGAGTAAAATGCTTTCTGGTTTGGATATTGTTATATTCACAAGGATGAGATTTTTTTTTCTAGGTCAGTAAAGTTAAACTTTGCAGCCCATAAGCAGAAAAGTAACACCAAGAAAGGTCCTTTGCGGTTGTAGATGCCTTTTGTTTTGTTTTTTCACAGCCTGACTGGTGTTTAGGAAATGCATTCCATGCTCCTGGCTGACACAATGATGGCCTTGGCACTCTGCGGTGTAGCTTTGACAAACACCTAAATAACTTCTGACCTTTGGTTTGTAAATCACTTAGGTGCATCTTGCGAGTGGTTTCCCTGCTTGCTTTCACTTAGGCATAAGCAGGTTATTAGTGACCATGCTTTGGGAAACATTTTCAACCCAGAAGAGCCTGGCTTTGTTTATTAAAATTTCTCCTGCAAAGATGACATTTTCCAAGCTCTGGTGTCATGTCTGAACAGAGCAGACTACACTCTCTTATTAGAGGTGGTGTAAATCCCAGCCACCCTCACAAACATATGGGAACTATTGAAATCCCTTCTGCCTACAAATCATTAATTGGCAACGATGTTCTGAATTCATCATCTTGTCAGCAGGGTTCCTGTTTGAAGAAGGCACTGATGGTAACAGCTGAGCAATTTCTCTCGCTGGGGACACTGAGGTTGTAAATATGACATGGTCTAATCTCCTTATATAATGTGCTTGCTCTCTCAATTAATATAGGCAGCTAGGTAGTAGTTACTGTAAAGAACCCAAACTACTTGGATTTTTACACCTCCTTTGGCAACATGGCCCATTTATCAGCAACTGCTATGGGACAGCTAGAAGTAAATTGTGACTGTTTTGGGACATATTTATAAAGGACCAGTGTTAAGGTTCATTATTCACAAGAATAAATTGCTGTACTAGTTAATAAGAGAAATGAAAGCAGTTGCTTTGTGAATTTCTATGCTGGTTTCCAGGGTGGTGATTTGGTGCCGCTAAAGGACTGATAGTTATTGGTTTTGCCTCGGTTCAGCTGGTGCTGTCTGAACGGGTCCTTGAGGAAATGTGCCTGAGCACTTTCACTAGCTGGAAAATGCCCAGTTTCAAGTCTGTTTGGCCAATTTCAAGTCTCCTAATGGTGGTCTCCTCCTCAGTAGACAGTGCTCAACCAAAGTTGAGGGCCAGATCTTAAAATGCTGTAAAACTTGATGTAGCACCACTGAAGTCTTTTACCCATTTAGGGGTTTGGCCAAACAGTTTCTTACCTGCCCCAGTCTATGCTTTCCTTCTTCCTCCACTGGAATCACAAATTAATTAAATATTTGAGTAAATAAAAAAGAAAAACGGCACTGAATGAGAGCCAAGCTGAAAAGGCGAGTAATGAGTTCAGGAGGTCGTGAGGCTCTCCTTTTGAAGAATTAGTGCATGCTGCTACTTGAAGAGACATCAAAGGTACAGCTGGTTTTAGCCAGCTACAAGGTATGGACAAGATTACAGATGTTAGAGGTGGACAAAATAATGGAGGAAACCTCAGTGAAATCTTTCTTCACCCTTGCCTTCTTCTGAGGAAGAACTTTGAAACTGAGGGCTGGAGGGAGTATGGGTTGGGGTATGGTTTTCTGGTTTTAGGAAGGAATTGCTGCCAGAGGAAATACTTGGATATTTTTTTTGTAAAACAACTCTAGAATGTTCAAGCTCTTCTGCTGTCTTAAATATTGATGTTTGTTTGATTATTCTTCTCTTAATCAACTTTGAACATACCTCAATGCATTTACAAAACAATATTTATTTTTGCTGATTGTTCATTACTTGTGTTGCGATTCAGCTGAGCTCTTGCAAAGAGAAATGAGAATTTCTTACAGAAAACAAAGGCTGCAGAAAAACCTCATGTTCGCAGGTCTTTTATTCTGGATGTAATTAAAACTAATTGACATAGGTAGCTAGCTTAAGTAGATCAGAAGTTTACCTGCCAAATCAGTTCTCGGGTGATTTTGTTGCTGGCTGATTGGGGGCGAAGCAGAATTACTCATCTTCCTCTGAGAGCAGTGCAATCAGTGCAGACGTTTGAAGGCACTTTCCCAGAGTGGTGATTGCCCCCCTGTTGATCAGCTATTGGAAGGATATTCTGAGGCAATTGTTCTTTTGCAGCTGTGCAGGAGCAGGCAGGCAGAGGTAGTGACCCTCCGCTGGTGGGTAGCAGAAGGCACCCTGCTGGAGTGGTTGGAGTTGCCTCCCATCCCTGGAGGGTTGGGAGCCAACTGAGGGCTTGCAAAGGTGGTGATGGCACTCTTGATGACTATTGTTTCTGTGTCTGCACAGCAGCTATCCCAGAGGCCTGACTTGTGAGTGAAACACATAGTTGATACCACAATTAAAAAAACCTGTATTTTTAACAAACTCGCTGTGTGTGGTTTCCTCAGGTGATGCAGTGCTGCAGCTCAGCTGTTGCCTTCCCTGTCCCCTTATATCTAGGAAATGGAAACGTGCTGCTGCACAGGTAACCTTATTTTGGAGCTTGGGCTTTTGCTCCAAAGCAGCCAGTGTTTCTGTTTTTGCATCTGATGTAGGTGCAGGAGGGGGGCAACTTTTCTTCAACCCCCTCCATGACTTCCTTGCGTGCCACTTGAGTTGAATTCTCAATCTCAACTCCATGTTATCCACCTCAGGTTGGTT